CTCTTTGCGAGAAACATCCGCCATATTTAATTCTTAGGTCAAAAACACCTGATATCCCCTATTATCAATAGTTTTCCCCATACCGCCAAAACATGTGATCACAGAGTAGGTACCACTGATATACAGTAGGTACATAGTAGGTACATAGTAGGTACATAGTAGGTACATAGTCGGTACATAGTAGGTACATAGTACCTACTCTGTGATCACATGTTTTGGCGGTACGGGGAAACTATTGATAATATGGGATATCAGGTGTTTTTGAGATAAGAGTTAAATATGGAGGACGTTTCTCACAAAGAGTGACAAAATCAATTATAAAAGAGAATTCAAACTTAGCTAAGATCAAATTTGATGTGTGCTTCACACTTTTTCATGAATGTCAAGTTTTGATCTTGTACTAGAATATCACACCTGCAACCTGCACACCTGCACCTGCAACCTGCAGTTTAAACCCTCCGACATGGCTAGAAGTGCGAGACATGCGCCTGTCTTGTTGAGCGTTTTTTTCAGGATAATTTGATAGAGCAGGACCTTTCCCACTTTGCATCAGTATAATAGCAGCAAAACAAAATGGCCAAATAGAAGCCACAAAGATATAGATTATTTTATAGGCAATCGCACTTGTTTTCTTCGACGGGTTTATACGACAAGTGAGCAAAGGAAGAAAATCCTAATTCATATATGGATCAAATTAAATAATTGAATTCCTTTGTTTTTCACGTGAATTGTACGCAGTTAACAGGGATAGATTATTTCAAGAAATGTTGTGCGTATATATATTTGATATATTCGTTGTGTTATTGTTCACAAGGAAAGGGCGGCAACTCTGATCACAAGTGAAACAGATCTTTATAAATGGCCTAAGTAAACTGCTTGTTATTGTAGAATTAGCACCATTGATATATAGTAATACTAACCAATTGAAGATTAAAATTGCATTTGAATTGTAACCAGATGACGATTAAAATAAGGTATGAATTCAAAGTAATTTTGTTGATAATTTTAAGACTACCGAAGTATTAATCGTATAATATCAAGTGCGGCAAACAAACTCCAAGCAAACTTGCTCAAATTTGAATATGATGCTGGCACTAATACATTCTTGTAGAGCCTTTCCACCATAGATCTTTGTTTACTAAATGTTGAACATGCACAGTTTAAATGTCCCACATTTCTGGCCATGTTTGCAGAGTTAACCACTGACCACAAAGGACAAGGGACTAGAAATGTGGTCGGCCATATTGTTTAATTTGTTTTGTTATTACAAAACAAATTATTATTACAGATTATTGTAAATGTTCGAACTCTATTTGTTTTAAACCTCATAATTATACTTGTTTTACCTTTATGCACTAGTCAATTGAAATCCACACCCCCCATAGTGGGGGTTTTGACAAAAAACCCAAGCAATTGAGGTCAAAACCCCCAGCCCCTGGGGTATTCTTTTAGGTCAAAACCCCCTGCCCCTGGGGAACGATTTTGGGTCAAACCCCCACAACCATTTGATGATATTTAACCAATTTGACAAAAATACCTCAAACTTTGTAATTTCAGACTACAAATTGATTGTAATACTTTGTGTAAACATCTTAAAACACTATGTCAAAATATGAAACAAAACAAACTTTATTATTAATAAAAATTAATAATTAACAAGAAGATAGAAAGTTCAATAGAAAGTTGTAGTATGCCATACCATTCTTAGCCTGCGAATATAGAACGCACTCTGCAGCTTGTAGCCTTGAGTTTGGTCTGCGAGCTGATGTCAAACATTCCATACTGATGGCGTCTTTTTGCACAGATTTTGGGCAGCGGCTCTGATTGGCTGTTCTGTGATCAAAGAACAGTTTGTAAACACTTAACAACACCTTAGCACAACATTGACAACATAGCTTAATTGCATCACATGTTTGAGACCATATTAATCTTATTAAATATTATTATGAAGTAAGTACAGAAAGAAATAAATACCAAATGTACTGTGTACATATCTAATTTGTGCATCTTGGTTTTGTTCCCAAGAGGGTTGACACATTCCACTTCATCATAATATAGAATGATTTGCAGCGCACTCTTGTCTCTTGAGAACAGTGGATGCCTTTGGAACAACTCACCATCGCACAAGTCACAAATTCGACCAGGTTGTCTGTTTTTATGCAAATGCTCTATCTAAAAGCAAATTTTATTGCATTATTGACAAGGTTTTCTTAAAAGACTAGATACCAACAATGCTCTCAGTCCCAATACAACCCCATTTTTAATGAGCAAGAAAGTCTCAAGAAAGTTAAATGGTGCCAATTTAAAGTGCCACTATGTGAAGGAGGCACAATGACTGATCAAATTTGAAATGATAACATGGACGAATGGAGACATCAAAATAACAGATCTTTTTTGGGGATTTGAATCTATTTTTAAAGGATAACAAGTATCCAAAGAAACTGTCAGAGAATGAAACCAAGTGAAGAGCGACATCAAACACGAAGTTTATAGATACAAATTTAGTTTCCTAAATATTTCAAAACGTTTTAATATGCAGTTATTAAAGATGTGGTACAGCCTGTATGTAAACAAATGCTTTGTTTACATTTCGGTATCCAAAATTTAGAATTTTATTCAACAACTATTTATATTTTCATGATTCTAGAGTATAATAAATTACCAAGACACAACAATCAAGCTTTGCAAGAACATAAAATGAAATAAAAACCTAAATAAACTGTTTGTATAATAAAAAGAGGGCCCCTTTGTGCACATGCGCAGATGGGACTGTACCGCATCTTTAATAGGATGGATTTTATACCAAATTCAAGCTTACATAATGACATACAGCTGACAAATGTTTGGGAAATATTATATTTTGTGATTAATTAAAAATGATATATTTTCCCATTATTTTCACACTTTTTTTGAAAAATATAGAAATAATAAAAATGCTGTGTTGCTATGACAACAGTCTACAAATGCTTCATGTTCCGAAAATGTAGTTGCATTCATGGTTAGTAAGGAGAGGGGTTGCTGCATTCATGTATTTCTAGTATTTTCAAGAAACCTAGCTAGGAGCTTTACCTACGAGGATATAAAGCAGTTAATTTTCAAAAACAAATGAATGATCTTATATAATAATTTTTATTAATAATGTATCTCTTGAAATAGGTTAAAGATAACTTCCTTCCAGTTGGCCATACGCATGAAGATATGGACGGGTTATTTGGGGTATTTTCAAAGAAACTTCAGATCCAGGAAATATATACATTTGATGGTAAGTTTTGCTTTAATGTAAATACAATCATACAGTAACTGATATTGTATGAGCTATAGGACCATACGTCAAAACATCGCAATTCAGTAAGTTCAATCAAGAGCCTTTATTCGATTTTTTTTTTAGATCTGTGTCAGTCATTTGAAGGGTGCACAGACAAACCACACCCCGAGGCACATAACCAGAATGGATGTATGGCATCAAAGAGTGGCTACAACCTCACAGCCACGACCTACATCAGCATGTGCAGCCACATTGTTTTAAGTTTGTGAGGAACCACAAAGGAAAAGCGGCAATGTTCTACCGAATATGGAGTGGAGAAGCTTGGATGGGTCCAGTAAGAATTCTTAAGGCAAGTTATTTCTTTATACAACCTATCGAAGTCATAATTATTACGTATTATGTATACACATCATTGTTAAATAGCGCATGTTAACAAGAGAATTCAATTATATATCTCAAATATACTTAAAACTGCAGAGACTGACAGTCGAAAGTATCAGAAATTCAAATCCCCTATATGTGAAATACACTTAAACTGCAGAGACTGATAGCCGAAAGTATCAGAAATTCTGATACTTTTGAAATCCTCTGTATGTAAAATATACTTCAAACTGCAGAGACTGGTACTCCAAAGTATCAGAAATTCTGATACTTTTCAAATCTCCTATATGGGAAGTATCCGATTTCATTACTCTCACAAATTCCATAATTAAATGTATTGTTTCAGAACTATGGAATTGAAATATGTTGAAAAGCCAAGTTGACAAAATATGGAGGGTTATTTAATTCAGGCAATAATATTACCTCGCTAGCCATGAAGGCCTCGCTAGCCATGAAGGCCGGTCCTCACCCAATTTTAACCTGTCGAGTGTCAGCACTCTCACCTTGACAAATCAAATTGTTTGGTGTTAAAAATTAAAATAATAAAGTAAGGTATTTCACCCCCCGTTAGAAACTTCGCCTTTTCTTTAGAATTTTCATCCTCCATTCAAAATTTTGCCCTTCCTAACAGTTGCATAGGATAATTATTACATGGCTTTAATTAATCATTTGAAATCAGTATCAATTCAAAATTGTTAAGACAGAGCTTGAAATAACAACCGATCACTGATCAATGATCGGCAAGGAATTGCTTATGATCGGCGGAAAAGCAGGGTTTCAGCTTCCAACCTGAAAAAAGCAGGGAAATGACTGACGATCATGACTGACGATCACCATGATCGGGAACTTTGGGAACGTTATTTCAAGCCCTGTAAGAATACAAATTTACAATTACATGTATCGAAAGGGCTTACACAGTTACAGTAGATCAATAGGACTTATGACGCTTCTCAGCACACCATGCATATTTTGCATTTTCAGTGTTAATCCTTAAACTTGTTGTTAAAAAGTAATCACCATGGTTATTGTAATTAATTATTGGTATTGTTTTGCATCCACGTTTTGTCATTATCAGAAAATGTATGGCTTATAAGTTGTCACTATTTTTTACTTGCATTATTTCAATATAGTTTGTAAATCTCAGAAGTGAATTCCAGAACTTAGCAATACTCCAATAATATACGTTTCAAAAAAGACAAAAAAGCTTTTAGTTTTGCAGAGTTACATTCTCAAATGTTGAAGGCACTAATAAAATCAAAGTATTATGAAATTATTTGAATAAACCACACCACATATATATCATTCAATTTTCTTTGTGGAAGCCAAGAATCAAGATTACATCACTGACACTGACATGGAAAGTTGACGATTCAATGGATGCTATTGATAAAATTTGCAACCGATTGTTTTTATATGTTATGTGAATGTAAACTGCCAGAAGAATACGACAACATGATTTTATGCAATCTCTGTGGGCAATGGTTCCACTTTAGATGTGTAGAATATGACACCTCAAATGAGTGGTTATGCCGACTGTGCACACCACCAGCTGCTAAGAAGCCTAAAATGTGTATGTAATTTTGTCTCCTTGTAATAAATAAATAAATCACACAATAAATCTTTTCAACTCGCAATGTTTTATTTTTAGATAAAAAATTATATGGGGGGGGGGCAAAATTCCAAAAGGGGGGCAATATTCCTAGGAGATTCGCCCCCTGGGGGGCGATATTCCTATGAGATTCGCCCCAGGGGGCGAATATTGCCCCCCTTTTGAGAAGGGGGCAAATCTCCTGGGGGGCGAATGTCCTGTAACAGCGGTCATTATATATGGAAGGGGAGGGGAAAAATAAGGGGGGCTTATGTATAAATAAATGGCTAGAAGGGGGGTATTTTTGCTCAATAAGCCTGGTATCCATTTGGTTGTAAATATTGCGACTAAATCATGGTCACAGTTCCATATTCTTATTTAATAATTAACACTATAACGTCTGGGTATCCCCATTTCACGGGTAAAAATGAAAATGGGGGCGGGGGGGTAAAAATGAAAATGGGGGGCAAATAAAAATATTGTAATATCCAGGGGGTCATAATCAAATTTCAGCTCTTTTAAGGGGGGACTTTCAATTATAAAAATTTAGGAAAGAAAAAATTCCCCTCCCCTCTTCCATAAATAATTACCGATCCATTATGCATAGATAATCATACCACAGCATTTACACTTCTATCCAGATTTTGTTGAAGTGGCCTAATGTAGCCTAGTGCCTGGTCCAGACCTGAAGTATCCCTCAAGAAAGGAACAGAATATCTAGTTGCAGGTGGTGAAATAACAGTAAAAGTGCTGTCTCCAGAGCCTGTCCATAGAATTTGAATCCCTCCTGCATCTACCAGCTTTGGATATTCTAACAATTTTTCTTCTAACATTGAATAGTTTGCTTTGGAAGGAAAACATATCTTTCTTCTACCAAAACTGCATTTTTGTAATGCGATTTTAACTGATCTGGAAGGCACACGGTTTTGTGTACGTTGACTTAAACAAAAAAATTTGTGTGTCCATATTTCTTTGATGGTGTAATACGGCCTATACAGCCTTCCAGGGAGTTGTGCTTGTTGATATGCTGAAGCAGGCAAGACACTCTTTTTGCATAAGGTGAAAATATAGTTCTCAAATATTGTAGAACTGATTGTGACTGTGTCTGTGTATTTACAGGCAGTCCACTTGGTGTATCCTGATGAGGAGCTGGGCTGCTTGTGGACACTGAAGATGATACAATTAGGTCTACAGACAGGTCTACATTTTTTACACACAAAAAACATCTAACAATAATAATCCCAATATTTTACGTTACACCCTATAATCACGTGGTTAAATTACGTCATCTATATGTCATATTCATGCATATGATTAACCATGCAAGGAGTTCAATCTCCATGACAACAAAACTGTTAATATGTAGTAGAAATAGAAAGAATAAAATATCCCGTTCATGACATTCCCCAATGTTTATTCACTGAATCAGTGAAGTGATAATCATTCGTAACATAACTATGTAAATATATGATAACGAATCTTAATTATATCAATTTTCACTAAAGCATCTGTCCGTCCCTTCTTTTCATTTCACCAACAACCGCGGCTGTTCTTCGACTTCGTCCTTCGGCGGTTTCATCACCTGCTGCATCTTTCTCAGCTACCGCTTTGTCTTTGTTTGAAACGATTTCTGGTGGGCTTGATTTCACTTCGATCGGTACCAGCAGTTCGATTGGTCGTCTTGTCGTGCTTGCGTTGCCACCTCCAAGCTTAATAACAACTGATCTATTCTTGCCGTCCTTTCCTGGGAGTAACTGTTCTACTCGGGCGAGTCTCCAAAACGCTCTTGGTGTTGACTCATTTTTTACGATAACAACGTCCCCTTGGGAAATGGAGGAACCCGAGCTGTTAGCTTTCGACTTCACGGACGCTTGCTTGCGCAAACTAATAAGGTACTCTCTTCGCCATTGCTTCGTGACTTGCTCCAACAAGTGCTTGTGGTGTCGAGCTCTTTGCGTTAGCGACCGATTAGTGCTCACGACTTCGTGATGCGAACTGTTTGGACTCATAGTTATATGTCGACCATAAATGAGATTCGAAGGGTTCAAGGTCAAGGGTTCGTAGTTTGACTCTGCATCGTCGTAGACATACGTCAGAGGCCTCGCATTGACAATTGCTTCGATTTCGACTAAGATTGTGTGTAACTCGTCGTACGTTAGGGTTGAGTGACCAACGACACGTTTCAAAGGCCGCTTGACACTGCGCACTAACCGTTCCCAGAAGCCGCCCCACCAGGGGGCGCGTTCGACAATAAACTGCCACTTTACACGTTTATCAACCAGGTACCTACATACTTCTTGTGATTGAATTATTTTCCCAATGTCCTTACTGGATGACTTGAAGCTTTAGCGTTGTCGGATGTAATTGTGGCTGGCAATCCTCGTCGACTAGAAAACCGTCTAAACGCAAGTAGAAATGCTTGCACGCTAACTCTTCGAGTAAGTTCAAGGTGGACAGCCCTTGTTGATGCGCAGGTAAAAAGCAATACGTAGACTTTGATGGTTGGACTGTCATTCTGTGTTGTGGGTGATTCATTTGGCTTGGATCGAATAAATAACGGTCCAGCGAAATCCAAGCCAACATGAGTGAATGGAGGGTCGTCGGAAACTCTGATTGCAGGCAGGTCTGGAGTTGGTTGTGACTTAAAAGGGCCACTTTCGCACTTACGGCAGACAACGCAATGTCTGATGATCTTCTTGATAGTCTCTCGCCCGCATAAGATCCAGAATCGCTCTCTTAATGTAGTCAAGGTGTCCCGAACACCACTGTGCATTATTTGATTGTGTGTATGGCAGATTAACAATTCGACAAACTGGTGCTTGCTTGGCAGAAAGATCGGATTTTTGCTATTTGGTGGAAGCGAGGAAGCATTAACTCTCCCACGAGATCGCATCACGCCTTCGCCATCGAAATATAGACCAAACTGCTTGACTTTGGACTTCAAATTAGTTTGCACATCGTTGCCAAACTCGGATAGCAATTTAACTTCTTCGGGAAAACTGCATCGTTGAGTTGCCTGCACCCACAACACCTCGGCAACCTTGAGATCATCGACATCATCGTTCACTGGCACTTCTTGCACTGTTCCTGAAACCTTCGACCATACAATCCTGATGAAACGCAATACCTTCGCAGTAACTCGTAACAACCTTTGTAGGCAGCCAAACCGTTCGATCTGCATCACTTCGTCAACTCTCGCTTCAGCAGGTTTCCTTTCTTTGTTGATCATAATATGTGTTACACTAGGAGGGGATTTCACAGACTCCTGGTTGGCATCTTCGTTGTTTTCGACAGACGGGTCCTCCGATGGCCATTCGCTTGGTGATTTTTGTAGGAAGTCCAGACCATTCCACCAAACATTATTTTTCGCGAGATCCTTCGCACTGAGCCCTCGGGATGGTAGATCTGCGGGATTTTGTAGGCCTGGACAGAAGCACCAATCGGAGGTAGAACTCAACTTGCGAACTTTGTTTACGCGGTGCTGGACATACTGTTTCCAGTGTTTTTCGTTTCGGATCCAGCAAAGAGTCGTCATGGAATCGACCCAATAGGTAGTGGATAGCTCCCCTACTGTTCTCGTGATTTTCTCGCAAAGTCTGGCAAGTAGCACGGCTCCAAGAAGTTCGAGACGAGGAATGGTTTGTCTCTTTAACGGAGCAACCCTTGACTTGCTGGCCACCAAATTGACTTGTACACCACCATTTTCGTAGACTGATCTGATGTAAACCACGGCTGCATATGCTTGTGAAGATGCATCACTGAAGCCATGAAGCTCGACTTCAATGGGTTTAGTTGTCACATCGAAATAACATCTTGGCACACGTACTGAGTGAAGACTTGGTATTTCTCAAATGACAGTCTGGAACTTCGAGAGCAAGTCGCCAAGTGAGGGTTTCGTCCCAATCGACTTTGTTCATGCATAAAATCTGGAAAACGATTTTCATCTAAATGGTAAGGGGGGCAAGGAAACCCAACGGATCAAATATCTTGGCCGTAAGCCCGAGTAACGACCATTTTGTCGCGGGAATGGAGGAGGTGTCTTCCTTCCAGTTGTCGAAGTTGAAAAACAATTCGTCAGCCTTTGTGTCCCAGTTGGATCCGAGAACCTTCACGCCACCATCGGAGGGTTGATTGCATTGTGCCCAGTCATCAATTTTGCGTACGACTCTTCTTCTGAAGTATGGGAAGAAACCTTTCGTTGATCTTGAGTCGCCTTGTCAATTTTAGATCGTTCATCTCCCCCTCTGTCAAGTTTGTGCGTCTCGATTTGATTCATAAGTGCTTGCGAATTGGAGTTCCATTTGCGTAAGTTGAAACCCCCTTCTGCCATAATGGATGATGATGAAAAGACTCATCAACGCTTTCTTCGCCCGTCACGAGATCGTCGACATAAAATGATTCCTTAAACAGTGACACTAGCTTTGAATCAGATTGTGAATATCCTTCTAGGTGATGGGATATAGTGAATCCGAGGATGGCCGGGGATGGTCTCAGCCAAATACCAATCGTTTAAATCGATAGATCATCAATTCGGGATGGCACTCGTTCTGATCGTCAAACCACAAATACCGTAACGCATCTATCAGACTTCTTGATACCAATCATGAGGAACGCCTTCTCGATATCAGCGGTTACGCCAATTGAACTCCATCGAAATTTGATTAAAGTGTCGAAAACATGTGGTGTATAATTCGGTCCAATCTCGAGGCAGTCGTTTAATGATTCTTTGTCTTTCGAGACCTTCGCTGATCTGTCGTAAACAACACGAACTTTCGTGGTGTCTTTGTCACTTCGAATTACGGGGTGATGCGGTAAATAGTTCACTCGTTTACCACTTTTGTTCGTTTCCTTCATATCAGGTACTCGTTCAATACTACCGCCTTCGAGTTGCTCGCGAATTATCCTACTGTACTCGTTTAACAGTGCCTGATCTGTCCATAGTTTTCGATGAAGAGACTGGAGACGATTGTAACATGTGTTATAGCCGTCAGTACCGGGGAAAAGACCCCCTTTCCAGGGCAACCCAACTTCGTAATTTCTTCCGTTAAATGTTATATCGTCGATAAAACCTTCGTTGGCAGCACGATCGTGGACTTCGTTGGGCTCCTTGATTCCTATTGTTTCAGTTTCCCAAAACTGTCGCAGAATCTCTATTAATTGATCATCTTGCTGAATATTGCTGGCGATAAAATCCTTGGTGCGGGAAATAACTATATTCGCTGACATCCTTTCACGTCCTTCCTCTTTGGACTTAGCCAATTCGGCCCTTCCGGAAAGCATCCAACCAAAAACACTGACTTGACTGCTATCGGACCAAAATCCCCGCAGACTGTTTCCCCGGTGACAAAGTTCCAATAGTAATCCGAGCCTACTAGAACATCAATCGAGTCGTGGGGGGGGGGCCCTTGACCTTCGTCATAATCAGCTAACTCTAACTCTCGGATATGTGGATAATCGAAAATATCAACAAGGGCTGGTAAGGGTGAACATATAATAGGAAAGTTAAGGACGGAAGTCTTTGATTCACTGCCATTACGGCCGAGTAACGTTAAATAAAAAACTTGACATGATTTCTTATGTTTGTTATCGCCAAAAGTGTTCAAATGCAATGTTTCTGACTTGATCGCATTGAGACGCAATTTCCGTCTTAAGTCATCTGTAATATAAGATCTCTGACTACCGCTGTCAAATAGTATACGAACAGTTGCCGTTTTCAAGCCGCCCTCATTAGTTGCTATGGCGCGCGCTGTCTGGAGGAGAACCTGTTTCTTAGTTGTAATTTGAGACCCTGCAGTAATTGTACAGTTTGCGCTCCCCGCAGTACAAATTTCATTCTTCATTTCTTCGCTAGACTTATTGCCGCTACCGTCTACTTCGCACCGCGTAACCGTTTTGCTACAAATCGACTGATGATGACGCATGCCACAATTACGGCATTGTTTAGGACTTCAGCAGTCTTTGACCCTGTGACCTTGACACAGACAATTATATATAATTATAAATTATAATATATATATATATATATATATATATATATATATATATATATATATAAAAATATATATATATATATATATATATATATATATATATATATATATATATATATATATATATATATATATATAAAATATATATATATATATATATATAAAATATATATATATATATATATAAAATATATATATATATATAATATATATATATATATATATATATATATATATATATATATATATATATAAAATATATATATATATATATATATAAAATATATATATATATATAAAATATATATATATATATATATATATATATAAAATATATATATATATATATATATATATATAATATATATATATATATATATATATATATATATATATATATATATATATATATATATATATATATATATATATATATATAATATATATATATATATATATATATATATATATATAAATATATATATATATATATATATATATATATATATATATATATATATATATATATATATATATATATATAAATATAAATATATATATATATATATATATATATATATATATATATATATATATATATATATATATATATATATATATATATATATATATATATATATATATATATATATATATACACTAATAGTTATTAAAATTGGTCTATTTATACGCCTTCCTAAATAGAAATGTCTTTAAATGAGTTTTAAAACAGTTAACAGTTTCACACGGCCTAATGTTAAGTGGGAGAGAGTTCCATATTAGAGGAGCAGCATGCTTAAATGATCTATCTCCTAAAACAATTAAAATGTACAGTAGGGTTCAATTCCTGCAATTTGCTGTTTTCTGATTAAAAACTTTCCCCAGTCACATAAGGGACCGGTCATTATTTATGGCGGGGGGTGGCACCGAAGAGAAATGTTTTCCGTGTCCAAAATTTTGCTGACCCAACCATTAAAAAGACAAAAATTTGATTACCCAACCTCAAATATCAATTAAAAAATAATTACCCACCCCTGCCCAAAAACTTAACAAAAGGATACCATTCAGTTGTCATACATGTCCTTTATCACTTCAGTGACATGAATTTGATAACGGCTTGTTAAATTTTCTGCAGTCTAAAGTTTCATGTTGTCTGCACATGTACTTTCTTTGGAAACACAATTTGTTTTGTCAAAATGATCAAGATAGTGACTCTGATTGATTCACATATTGTATTGACATATGACTGTTGACATTGCTTTTCAGTCTCCAATATTTCAGTGGGTCATGCTTTGGAAATGACAATAAATTTTTATTACCCAACCCTTGAGTTGTTTTGTTTTTCATTTACCCAACCTTTTACTTTCTCAAAATTTTGTTTACCCAACCTTTTTCTCTTCGGTGCCACCCCCCGCCAAAAATAATGACTGGTCCCTAAGTCATACATACACTGTATGACCAGACATACATACATACACTGTATGACCAGACATACATACACTGTATGACCAGACGTCTATACATACACTGTATGACCAGAGGCGCCGGAGCAACTGTATGACCAGAGGCGCCGGAGCAAAACAGCGCTTCAAAAGTTGTGCGTTCGTCACATGAATTGAAATTGAGAACTGTTTTTAAGCACTTTAGTTCGAAATAATTGACAAACTGTCGTTTAACAATACATTGTCATTTTACAACGAAAAAAATTTCAACTAATATTGCCGCCTACAAAATTAAGGCTGAGAAGCAAGTGCCCTTCTTAAATGGCTGCACCCGCCACTTCACGTTACGTCCGACACCCCTGCATATGACCAGTACACGAATGCTTCCACTTTAACTGTTCAAAACACTGCAGGTTTTCTAAGGACACTTCGTTGTAACACTGGACCATTCAACAATTAATTGCCAAAGCCAAGGTGATCGAACACTTATACTCAATGAGCCCTGTAGCGGTGAAATGAATATATAGGCTTTTAATTGAACGCTGATAGTATTAGTTGCATTTAATAGAAATTTTAATTCAGATTTTTCTCAGATTTGTATAAAAGGTTCTTGTGACTGGTGACATGTCAATTACGACCGATCAAAATGCAGGAAATTCAATGGGTACAACTTCTACTGATAAAAAACCACCTTCGCTGGTATAGTTTAGTTGGGCATCATCAACATGCGGAACTCATTGTGCTAGTATATAAGGGGCTTTCCAAGTCCATGTATGCAGTCCGTTCCACTAGAACAATTACCGTAATTTTAGTATTTGCTGTTTAGATTAAATTATTTCAATCACAATTTCATATTACGTTATTCCATCGTATTCAGGAAGACCATCTGTATCGATGTTCCCTCCGTAGGTGTAGAGAGTATTCTGATTTCCAGCAGGAAGTACTGGCATTGGCACTGTATCTACAAGTTGAAATACATGTGCAATAAGTGATGAGTGAAAGGTTATTTTTTACTTAGTACACTAAGCGTTGTAGCTACATAGTTAGGGGCCAACCAAAAGAAATAAATAAGTACTCTTTATGCATGGGATCAGACATTGGCTGATCTTGGCTATATGTATTATAGCGGCACAATAATGTAATTCATCTCAAATGGAAGCTCCTATGCATGGCCATGACCCTGCTGAAAACTCAGTAGTGGAGTAGTATAGTAATTATAGTATATATATGATGGATTTATTCGATGGATTTATTTGTGGGATATATGCGGATGCATGTGCAAAAGCCCTCCCGAAACATTGAGAAAAATTTGACCTTTGGTGATAGAGTGACCATCCCAGCCAACAAAATTCAAAAGTTAACCCAACATCGTCACCTGTAGAATAATAAAATTCAGATTAACTGTCCACTACGAACTAAAAACATTTCCCCATTATTACAGAAAGAGCATGATATTTAGACTGAGAACGTGCGCCGACTTGGGTTTCTATGTAGTGAATACAGCGTTGAAACACAGACATTTTATACAACCTCCCCGCAAATATACTCAATTGGGATCGGTTGTACAAACTACAAACTACAAAGGCTGGATTGGGCTGTCCACCATATAGGGATTTTCTGAGCTTCTTAGAATATAACGGAGGTTAGTGTTTAGTATTTACTGATAAATTAACGTTTTCTTTATTTATTGTCGGTGTCTATACCTATAGTTTAACAGTTTTTCAAGCATTTTTTTTTACAATATAGCGTTATCCGGCTGCCTGCTGTTGGGGGTACTATTCAGCTTCTACTAGAAATACATGCATGCAACAACCCCTCGCCCACATTTTTCAAACTTTCTTAGTTTCAACATGAAATACTCTAATTACGCCAACACCATGCACAGAGAGGAGATATGCAGAGAGGAAACTCACAGTTGCTTGTTGACAAAGCTGCTCAATCGAAAGCCAACAAGCAGAGGTCACAGCAGATTAATCAGGAACAAAAGCATAAGAAGAATAAGAATAAGAAACAAAAGGTGAAGAATAACGAACAAAAGGCAAAGGAAAATGAGCAAACAAGAGAAGCGCATAAGGCAAGTGAGGAAATAACAGCAGAAAGACAACGCACTAAAGAAACGGTCGTTATAGCTGGAGATTCGATTATAAAATATGTAAAAGGTTGGGAAGTATCCAACACTGACAGAAACGTAATAGTTAAGTCTTTCTCAGGTGCAACAGTTAATGATATGTCTGATTTCTTAAAGCCCACTGCACGAAAGCAACCCGATAAGCTCATTATCCATGCATGCAGGCACAAACGATATACGCTATTCAAGTCCTAAAGAAATTGCAAAGAAAATTATCGAGTTAGCAGAGAATTTTAAAGTCATACTTTTGAAGTCATCATCTCTTCTTTAGTCACTAGATGCGATAGAGAGGAACTTACAACGAAGGTAAATGAAACTAACAATATATTAAAGTCAAGCTGCTTGAAGAAAAAGCTTGCATTTTTAGACAATAGTAATATTAGTCGCTCTCATTTAAATAGTAGAGGACTGTATTTAAACCGAGAAGGTAGCTCTTTGCTTCAGGCAAACTTTTCATATTTCTTAAGTTCGCATAATTGAAATGAGGACGGGTCGAGGAGGAGTGCTAATGATGCCTGTTTAAATATTCCGAAAACAAGGGGTTTTAAGATGGCTATGCTTAATGTAGTTAGCCTTCCGAAACACCTTGATGAAATCCGATTATTACTTCACGATAAATATTTAGATGTTTTAGCAGTTAATGAAACCCGTTTGGACTCCACTATTTCCGATGGGATTGTTAGCATTGAAGGTTATGACTTGCTACGTGCTGATCGGAATAGAAATGGAGGAGGGGTATGTATTTATATAAGACGCCATATAAATTATGAAAATCGCCCTGATCTAGTTCCAACAGGCCTTGAAGCTGTCTGTGTGGAAATTAAGCAGGCTAATAGTCAATCTTTTATAGTTTCAAGTATTTATAGACCACCATGTTCCGCTAGTGAAGTGTTTATAAAAATTGAGAGGCTAATCAAATCAATTGATGATGAAAATATAGAATTTTATATTTTGGGAGATTTAAATTGTAATATGCTAGAACCAACTTTGTCCACCACTAGAAAGCTTCAAGACGTTTTGGAATTATATCAGCTTACACAATTAATTAATAACCCTACGCGTATTACCCAGTCTAGCCAATCATTATTGGATGTAGTAATTGCGTCAATGCCTGAAAAAATAATTTTTTCAGGTGTAGTCCATCTCGGAATTAGTGATCACAGCCTCATTTATAGTATTCGGAAAATAAGTACAAGAATAAAAACTGATTTACAAGGTTCTGTCGAGTATAGAAATTTTAAGAATTTCAATGTTTCAGGCTTTCTATATGACTTACAAAATATACCTTGGGAAGAAATAAGATTTAAAAGAAATGTAGATGAAATGTGGCGGTTATGGAAAACATTTTTTGTAGATGTGCTGGATAAACATGCCCCTGTGAGAGTAAAAAGATTAAGAAAAGGGGGCAATATTCCTTGGGTAAGCCGGGAAGTAAAGGAAAAATTATTTAAAAGAGATGCTCTTAAGCGTAAAGCAATAAAGACAAATAAAGAAGAAGACTGGAGACTATATAAGTCATCTAGAAATGTTGCCAACACTGCTTTGCGCAGTGCTAAAAGAGATTATTATGCAAACAAATTCACAAATAATAAACAGAATCCTAAATATGCTTGGAGAACAATAAACGATATATTAGGTCGAAACAGAAAACAGACTACGATTAATGAAATTAAACTTCCAGGTAAAACTGTTACATCGACCGACGAATTAGTCGACATTTTTAATGATCATTTTAGTAATATTGGCCCAAAGCTTGCTGAGTCTATTCCAAATGACAATGACGTTAGTTTTCGAGATTTTATTACTCAACAAAAATCTAAGACAAAGAACAGTTTCTCATTTCGACCAGTGAGTGTAACATTGGTTTACACTCTTCTAGTTAATTTGTCTACCACCAAAGCGACTGGAATGGATAAAATTTCAGCTAAAATTCTACAAGTAGCAGCTCCAGTTATTGCACCTTCTCTTACTGAGATTTTTAATATGTCAATTGACTCGGATCAATTTCCTTCTGATTGGAAAGCTGCAAAGGGTTATTCCATTGTTTAAGAAAGGTCAGCGGTCCATGTTGGACAACTATAGACCGATATCAATCCTTCCTGTAGTAAGTAAACTTATGGAAAGAATTATGTATGATCAAATGTATGAGTATCTTAACCAGAATAATCTTTTCTCAAAACACCAATTTGGTTTCAGACCTTATCATTCCACAACTACTACATTATTGGATTGTACGAACGAATGGTATACCAACATGGACCGTGGGCTGTATAACTTAGTTGTTTTTCTTGACCTAAAAAAAGCATTCGATACAGTCGACCACGAAATACTGTTAAGTAAGTTTGAAATGTATGGTTTCCAAAGGAAAGCATTAAATCTTTTACGTTGCTATTTGACGCACCGAACTCAAAGTTGTCAATTGGCCAGTATACTCTCGGTGGAGAAAGAAATCATTTGTGGCATTCCTCAGGGGAGTATACTCGGCCCTCTCTTATTTATTATGTATATAAATGATTTGCCAAGCTGCCTAGAACGCACAACTCCAAGAATGTTTGCTGATGATACTAACTTAACGGCAGTAGGCAGAACAATTAGTGAGGCGGAAGAGAGGGCGAGCGTAGACATGAGGAATGTTCAGAAATGGCTTTGTGCAAATAAACTAAGTCTAAATATAGCGAAAACCGAGTATGTTTTAATTGGAACACGACATAAAATAAGTAATATTGATACCCATCAAGGAGTTAAAATAAATAATCAATTGATTAAAAAAGTTAAAAATACCAAAGCTCTTGGAGTTGAATTAGACGAAAACTTGAGTTGGGAAAAACACATTAACCATATTAGCAGTAAAATATCATCAGGTATTGGGGCTATTAGAAAAATGAGGGAGTATGTCGAACAAGACATTTTGATAAAAGTTTATAATGCCTTAATCCAACCTTATTTTGATTATTGCTGTGAAGTATGGGATACACTTAATAAAGGCCTAAGCGAACGTCTACAGAAATTCCAAAACAGAGCGGCTAGGTTGATCATGAACTTAAAAAATGAACATGGTCAGTCTATTTTGGCACGAAAATCTCTAGGCTGGGTAACACTTGAAGAGCGTAGGGCACAAATGAAAGCCAGGCTCATGTACAAGACAGTTAATGGTTTAGCCCCCCAACGACTATGCGAAGCTTTCCAAAATCTGAATACCATTCATGACCATAATCTGAGAGGTTCTTCAACAAGGTTTTATATTCCAAGACCAAAAACGGAATCCTTAAAAAAAAGCTTCCAATATAGTGGGGCTAAACTATGGAATCAGATACCTGAAGAGATACGCAATTCGTATCGTATAATTCGTTCTGTAAAAAGCTATCTTCCTCGACCTTAATCTCGACTTAAAGTAGTAGTTAATTTTTTGTCTAAATAGGTATATATAATTGTATTTGTTATGTATGTAATATTAGAGCTAGTATATAAATAATAATTTGTAAGTACACATCCCTTTTGGAAATCAGCTTTTGCTGAAAAGGCCAATGTGTTTAAATAAAGTTGATCTATCTATCTATCTAGTTGATAACCTCAATTTTTGTGTCATGTGCACACGTTATTTCCACGCGCCACGCTATGCATAAATAACAATGACGCTCATGTAAATAACAAAGCAGCGAATGATATAAATTCCTCAAAATATAACTCTCGCATAAAAAACCCCATGAATACTTATATAATCTGTATAGTTTTATTCCTCTGCATTATCAAAATTTAATAAAATTTTAAGTAGGTTTAAAGCCACAAACGCGCAGCGCGAGTAGCTTAATTTAGACCAGGGCGCTTATATAGAGGGCGGTGAAACGGCTATAGGCGCGCCGGTCGATGTGTGATGCAATGAACTGGTAACGAGTTTGTTGTGGTTACTATGGCGACGTTGTCTTATATGGCAAGGATACTCTCTCCTCCGCAGAGGCTTTAGTTTTCTTAGCATTTAATATTACGATGAGATACATTTCACTACACTTTACATGGCGGATCTTGGAACACGAGCGTAGCCGCTGGGCGAAGGAGCGCAGATAAATATGGCGGGAAAACTGAGCTGGAAGTTTTGACTGTTTTGTAGTCAAGTTTTGATGAAGAAATAGATATTGGGGGTAAAATTCCAATGTTATACGATAATTTAGTAGATTCTGCTATTGTATTTTCAGGTAATACTGCCAATATTTTAGAGTTTTTGCTGAAAACGCTTGCGAACGGTTGCTTTCGCAAGAAGCATGACGTGAAAGGTTTTTAAAACTCTTCGGATGTACACGTATCGTTCACGTTCGATACAATACAATTCACAATTAATTTTAGCCACTAGTTGATCTTTTCAGTTGAAAATCAAGAAATGCTCAACTTGAATTTGTATTTTTTTAACGAATCCTTACGAGAAGTTGTCTTGGCCAGCCGGTCAAAAAAATCAAACTTATAGGACGAAACTTTTTCGACTATTGCGCTCAACAAACGTCCGAGCGAGTCGTATTTTGATTCAAAGGCCAAGAAGTAAAATATGTTTACGGCTCAGAATTACTTCAATTGAATGCCTTAAAAGTCGTACAAAATTATTAACATAATAACCAAAAATCACGACATGGCCAAAATACAATTGTTGTTTATTTTTTTGCAGCGAAATAATGGTCTAATTAGGCAAAATTTAACACACAAAAATACCTCACTTTCCAACGCTGTGTATTCAATTGCTCAACTCCGAGTCTTATGAAAACTTTTGGAGATAAGCACATAATTATAATCTTTACCATCAACTGAATTTCGAAGTTTGGACGACTTGATAACATGCTCAAATGCTGTTTTGAAAATTTCCCTTCATTGAAGTAATCAAAAGCCCGACTCATTATCCTCAATATTTCTTTCAAAATTCAACTATACAGGCCAAACAAGCATTCGTACGATACACTAGTTACTACTTCGTCGTTACAGTG